AGTAACTTCTAAGTCAAAGCAAGGACAAAATTTAGCAGAAAACATCCTGAAACTTACGAAGCGAATGATAAAGCTTAATCTCCCATTATTAAATTCTACTAATCACCTAAAATATTCAATCAAGAGTTTTAAAGAACATGAAGTACGCGCATACGTGAAGCATTCATTATCACGGGGTTCGAACAAAAATATCTGCAGTATGTTCTTTTTCTAGCGCTGCACCCCGTAAGGACTCTGAAAAGGAATTAAGCCAAACTTCAAACAAATAGGCAGGGCATTTAGGATCTCGGTTTTACCTGCTTTGACGTAAGTCTACGCGCGCACTGTGCAACTCTGCCCGATCGGCTATTGTCGCGCGATAATATACTACTCCAAAAGTTTGAAGAAGTCATTATACTCTCTTTATAGATCATTGCCAATTGCTCGACTCACGATGTGCAGGAAAGCCAAATGCACTCTTAGCATTTCCTTGCCTTCTAAACAACAAGTAGAGGTCAAACTGTAGTGCGTTCCTTTACGTCTGACTGGGTAGTACATAGCAGCACAAATGCATTGTTGGCTGCTTTTGCTTAGATCTGCTTGAGGCAATCTACGTAAAGAGATGCGCCAAAGGAAGCAGAGGACTATTTACCGTCATTAGGTCTAGCTTCCGCGGACGCCTGTTCCAACTTCAAGTTACTTTACGTAAGAAGCCGACTTCCCTCAATTAGAAGACTTTAATGTGTTTTAGCTTATTTTGATTTTCCTTATTCCAACCGGTACTCCACTTCCCTAATAGCTATATTAGAAAAATGTGGATCGGTAATCCGCGAAGACGGTCCAATTGGGGACATATGGTCCCTTACCTCATCAAAGGCAGGTAGTAGTGACCGCCAAGTGCTTGCACTGCAACAGACAATACGGCAGCGCGGTCAGGTTGAAAGGCTTTGCGATGTCACGGAAAGTACACTTGTTCCTTTGATTTGATTAATGATGCTCTATTTTGAATAAGATACTATTTCTTGCCATTCCTCCCCACTCAGAGGACAGCTAGCTAGCTCCTGTTCAAACTTTAAAAAAACGACTGTTTTAAATAGACAATCAATCTCTTTGCTAGCATTACGAACCTACACTCAGATGGAGCAGTAGTCCTCTCGAAAGGGGCTGCTGCTTTTGCCTAGCACGAACAGCACAACTTCCTGCAGGAGCAAATATGTGCTTCAGAAACAGTGTGACACACTACGTAGACGATCGAAAGTCAGTATCAAAGAGACAAACTATGTCCACTGCACGGACCAGACGCTGCCAGGCCTCTGCAGCCCCGCCAGCAACGCGACTGATTGGTACTGGCGCAGGATCCAACATATATCTGCCAAAGCTTGCGCCAGCACCAATTAGTCGCGCTCCCGTTAGGCTTGCAGCGTCCTCACATTGTTATTAGTCTGTTTGGCTAAGTGATGAGCTACTCTCGAAAAAGTGTTGATAGAGCCGGTTTGATTCCTATTCATAAACACTCGATTTTTGTGTCTTTTAAGAACACCCTATAGTCGACGCAAAATTCTCGTCACTCTTTCTGTCATAACATCTCCGATGTGCCTACAGAGCACGTCAACTTTGATTTGCAAACCAGAAGGTGGCTCTTACTCTAGCTTGTTCTTTGCTCTTTCCCACTATTCTTGCTATCGGGGAAAAGGGCGCATTTTGTCATTTTTTTCAATAAGTAGCCACATCTTATAGGTTGTTGTCTGGTGAATGCAGAAAACTCAATGGCAGGTAGGACTCAACAAGCGAATACTTTTGTTAAGTGTTGTTTTCACATTGAGGACTTCACGTTGTTGTGATTTATAGCCTGCTTTTATACGGATGTGTTGGTAAACGTGTATAGGTATAACGTGTTAGTATATTTTTCCCAGAATGTCTAGTATTTTATTGGTCTAGTAATTTCTTATATACGAACCACCTATATGACTCAGTAATGAAACAATGATATGGATGACGACAGCACAACTCAAGAATCACACTCAAAAACAAATTACAACTGCTACATAAGCCGTCGAAGTTGACATCCTTTGCCGTTTATGAAACGTTGTGCAGTCAGGAAGAAAAATTTGGCGTCGACTATATAAGACTTCGTTTAAAAAATCTAAGACCCTTTATACTTTCATAACAACTGCTTTATCTTCAAAAAAAAAAGATTTCGCTTGACTAAAACACACTTAAGAATGTACTTATATGAAAGTTTTGAGAGTAAGACCGCAACCATTGGCAAAGCTCATTATCATAGGGTAAAAAATAGTTATAAAAATAGAGTTCAATAAAACATCCAGCACTCCGCAGGAACTGGAGTGAAGAAGTAGGTACAAAAAAGAAAGCTCATGGAAACTTTATAATTCCACATCACATCGCTGAGCGACCCAATCTCTTACAATCAGATACAGCTCCTTCTTCGCATCTTCGGAAACCAGTCGCCGCGCTGGTTGTTTCAGCTCATCGTATAACATTTCAAGATTCACATTTTCCACGCCTCTTTCCTTTATCATCCGTCGAGCCATAGCTTTCACCTAGAATGAGACTTCATCCACTCAAGTTCCTAAGGAACGAAAGAAGAAGAAAGAATGAGAAAGACCCATGTAGTCCGTAAAAATTTCAACCTTAATTTTTTACTTCATTTGAAATAATTTGAATTTTTGATGTGATTTTCAGACGGTAAGGGGGCGAATGTCAGATTTCAAAATTACGCGAGGTTATGTGTGCGGGCAACCTATCGTTCCAAGTTTGGGTCTTGGATGTCTTAAGGATTACTATCGGTACTCATCAATCTTGAACATTTTCTCAAATTTTTTATAATTACATCAACAAGAACGGTGGCCTGACCCCACTCATGCCACACCTCTTTTTGTGCGGCTCTTCTCCCACGTCCTCCATGCTCGCAGGATGGAATTCAGGGAGAAAATGGTG